TACAAATGAAGACAGAATAGAATAATTTTTTATTTGTAGTAATCAACATGATGCCACAAATAAAATTTTTAATGTTTTTTTTTTCGAGTCATGGACTCTAACTTACAAGAACCTCAGTATACTTTGCGGATTTAGTGGGGGCAAATCATAGTCCCTGGTCTGAGGAGGGGCTATCTGCCCACAACTCATAATGCAACATCTCAGCGGGGCCTATTAATTTTCCATACACAAGGAGCCAAATTCTGCCTGGGATTATTATGCAATTTTCAAAATGGCTTTAAGTCTTTTAACTTACAAAGTTACCATTTACATTGCACTGGCCTGCTGGCTAGGATGAATGAATGAACACTCTCTTTCCCAAAGGACCATAATTCATTCTCTGATCATAGCTTATACATTTGGGAAAATTGGGATCAGTGTGCCTGGCGCCTCCCCTCCCCTCTGCTCCACAAAGGACTCATACACTGAAAGAGAAGGAGAGACAAAGTAGCTGTGTGCCATAGAGTGCAGAGGTGTGGCTAGGGAGGTGTTGACTGTGAGCAGCACCAGTTTAACATATAAGCAACTGTCTACATGATGTGATTTCAGGTGCACAAAAAAGGCCTCATTGCCCCTCAGTTTAAACACTCCCTTCCCACTGGCAAATGCCTGGAATTCCACAGTTTTTAGAGCTCTGTTCCTTTGGTTTAAAGCTTTGATCCCTGTTAAAATACTCATACCCCTGGGTGGGCAGCCCCATTATATCCTGTCAACCATATATACTGTAAACAGATGAGTTTTAACGTTTCTTCTCTGAAAGCAGGTTTTCAGGGTTGTGTGAAGGGAAGAAGATAGTGGATACCTGAGGGGGATGGGAAGAGAAGAGCATCACCTGAGGGGCAAAGGGAACTGGGCTCAAGACAAACCATGTGTGCATGTGTGGCCATGTGCATGGCTTTGTATGAGCCCCTCGTATGGCAGCAGCTGTTGAACACCCTTTCTTAACCCTCTCCCAGAAACCCTGATTTATGCTGCTTTTGGAGCCATGGAACCAGACTCTCCTCCCAGCTACAGCAAGATAATAGCTGCTGGCTACAGCTGGGAATTCTCAAATTCATTTAAACTGGAGACCAAGAATGAAAGGTGAAGAAAAGTTCTTCTGGGCCTGCTGTGCAAGGTAGCCTTCCTCTGAGGTCCAGAGAGAAAAATGTGGCCCAACGGTGTTATCTAAATGTTTCCAACTGGGCCTGAAAGCATAAAACCATGAATTGTAGAAAGTGCACATTGGCTCAATCAGCACATCCTTTTGTGTTTCTAGACTGATTGATTCTCTTTGTCTCTTCTTGCTAAAGAGTAAGGATGACTTCTAACAGGAGAAAGGTATACAGTATATAATGAAACAAACAGATTTTATACTTAGGTAAAGGAATGGGATTTTAGTAAAATTACATGTCACTGTAGAGGCAGAGTGGCCAACTACCCATGGTATTCCTGTGAGCTTTCTTGACCAAAAGCCTATTCCACTGTTAGAGTCATCATTTGTGAGCTGGAAGGCTAGAAAATGTTTGCGAGTCACTTATACTAGTAAAAATGGAACCACTGCTTAAGGCTAGCAAGTTTTATTAACTGCTACCTTAGGTTTGCTTGAAACCTTTGAGTATCTGGGAGGGGTAGCAGAAGTTTTTAAGCAAAAGGCATATTTCACAGAACCCCAGGGCCAGTTTGCATATGACCTAGTCCAGTGATGGTGAACCTATGAACTCATTTTTTGGGGTTGATTTTTCTCTGTTAAATGGCATTTAAATATATAAAATAAATATCAAAAATATAAGTCTTTGTTTTACTATGGTTGCAAATATCAAAAAATTTCTATATGTGACATGGCACCAGAGTTAAGTTAGGGTTTTTCAAAATGCTGACACGTTGAGCTCAAAAGGTTCGCCATCACTGACCTAGTCCAAATCCTAGTCATTCAGTCATTCACATACTACCCCAAAAGTTTTGCTATGTCCTCATATTCCCAGTACTATTTAATATTTTTCTTTAAGCCAGCTCACATTTTTAGTGAAATAAATTTATCACAGCACTTGGCTTTGTCCTGATGGAATCATGGTTTGGATGCACTACTTACAGATATTTTTTCTAATCCATATTAAAATAGATATTTCTTAAAACAAAACTAAAAGACTTCACTGGCCCACATACCACACTTCACTTTGGAAGCACTGACCTGGTTCAGGCAAAGTGTATTAGATATAAAAGTATATATTGAAAATAAGTTGCAATCCCTTTTTTCAAGGTATTCAGGACCCAGTAGTTGAAAACAACTGTTGCCTTTGTAGTTAGTTGCATGAACTCTGGAAGATCATGAATTTATGGGAGGTCATGTCTTCCTCTGTGGGGTCATGAAATTCAATCAATGCTTGCCTTCCAATCTGCCCTTTGGTCGCAGGGCTCCACAGGTGGAACATATCAAACTCACCAGCCAAATTATGACTCTTAATTGGTGTTTCTTTTAAAGTGGATATGTCATTTGTCAAATGTTCAATGCAGGAGCAGGGCTAGCCCCAGGCAAAATTATGAAGTAGGAGAAGAATGCCAGATACATAGGCAGCACTCAAATGTTTGTTGAAAAAAGAATGAATGAGCCCTCCGTCCTTGGCTCCTTCTCTCCCATCCCCCGCATCCACTAGGTCACTAGGCCCTTTTAATTCCATCTCCTAAATATTGCTGGTAGCATGTCCCCTTTCCAAATCTTCTCTGGCACAGCTTTTCTCATTTCTTGTCTGGATTATTTTCATAGTCTCTTAACCAGCTTTCAACTTTCTTCCTTCCCCAAGCCATTCACCACAATGTTGCTGGAGAGATCTTTTAATAAGGCAAATATGATCACGCCACTCCTCTACTTAAAATGTCCCTAAATCAGTGGTTGGCAAACTCATTAGTCAACAGAGCCAAATATCAACAGTACAACGATTGAAATTTCTTTTGAGAGCCAAATTTTTTAAACTTAAACTATATAGGTAGGTACATTGTTATTAACTTAATTAGGGTACTCCTAAGGCTTAGGAAGAGCCACACTCAAGGGGCCAAAGAGCCGCATGTGGCTCGTGAGCCGCAGTTTGCCAACCAAGGCCCTAAATGGTTCCCTAGCCTCCTTCCCATGACTTTAAAACTCTGCATCATCTGGCACTTGCTCACCACTGCTGCTTTGGCTGTTCTCAATCTCCAGCCTGAATCCTGCTACCTTCCAACTGGGCCAGGCCAGGCTCTCTCCTCTGTCTTTGTTCATGCTGCTTCTTTTCCCTTGGCACCCTTCTTCCCATCTTCTTTTCTCACCTCAACTCCTGCTGGACTTTCAAGCCTGAATTTAGGACACCATCTCTTCTGGGAAGCTTTCTCAGACCCTCCCTCTCGCCCCTTTAGAACTCTGCCTTTACCTCTGTGTTAGCACTTACCTCATGCTGTGTTAACATTTTTCTGTTTGCTTGTCTTTCCCATTAGACTTGTAGCTCTTTGAAGTCAGGTACCATAGGTTAATCTTTGTATCCCCATTGTCTATTTGTGTCCCACAGTATCTGGTACACAGTACGAGTTCAAATATTTGCAATTGAACAAATGAATGAACAAATGAGCTCCTCAGCGACCTTCCCCTTCCGTTGCCTCTTTTCTCAGACCACAAGTTCTGCTAAATGACCTCCTCTCCCCTGACCTAGCACTTCCTGGAGAATTCCTGGTGTGGAGGCTCTCCCTTTTCTTTGCTTATTAAAACCTACTCTCACCTAGATCAGAAACAACACAATCAGATGATAAATGAATTCACACTGAGGTGTTAAGTCATTTCATTATACAAATACTGAGTTTCTACTTACGTGCTAAGAGGTGTGTGTGTGTGTGTGTGTGTGTGTGTGTGTGTGTCACAAAAAAGAATACACGGGTTAAAGATCCCTACTTAGGAGCATGTAAGTAATGGCTAAATGCATTCCTCCTGTGAGAAGTATTTGCTTTTTAAAGAACTGGATTTCTAATGGTGAAATTTAAGCAGCAGACACGGAGAGTTGGGTGTAGGAGACATTTCAGCCTTCGATTCCACTTATGAAACAAGCTAGCTCTGGCTCACTGAATTTGCTGTGTAAATGATTTTCTAATGAGTTGGGCTGGCTTTAAGCCCCAGGTTATTTTGCTGTCACCAGTTATGCTTTACTTCACGAAGGATCACCTGGGACTGTCTTGCAGGAGACAGATTCTTTTAACATCCTGGGATCAGATGCTTACTCTGACTTTGTGTGGTTTTATTGAATCAAACCTAGTAAGCCTCACAGGCTTTCAGACTTTTTAGGTACAGTATTCAAAGATGAGGCAGGCTGTGAACCCGCCAAGGAGCCCCAGTTGCCATGGTTTGTGACTATTTGTAGGTCGGGTTTGTGAACCCAGCCGTAGCTGCGATGGGAAAACCTTTGGAGGGAAGCTCCTTGGAGATCAGGAAGAGGGGGTGGATTTAGTGCGGAGGAGGAAGACCTAGTGTGGCTCTGGTGGCCAGGACAAGCTGGACCAGGCTGGAAAGAGACCCGTGGCAAAGCAGAGAGGGGCACTTAAGCCAGGAAGGATGGAGATATTGCAAAAATCTGAAAGAGAAAAGCCCTCCCGGCGGTAGGCCAATGAGCAGCGGAAGGAGGAGTAAGGCTGGGGAACTTCTCCCAGAGCCAGTCAGAGGGGATGGCTGCAGGGAAGCCAATCAGCACGCCGGAGCCCGCAGCCCCTCTGCAGTAGTTGTGCCAGAACGCCCTGTGTGGAACGGCGGCGAACCGGGCAGCGGGGCCGGGCGGCCAGGAGCGATCGCACTCGCTCAGCGCCCTCCTCTCGTGCAGCCCTAGTGGATCCCGGCGCCGCGGGGCTCAAACAGTCCCCGCAGCCCGGCGCCCCACACCCGCAGATCGCCATCGCTCCTTGGCCGCGCAGTTGGCCTCGCTCCGCCCCGCCCCGCCTGGTCCCTCCTCGCCCCGCCCCTCCTCGGCGGCCCCGCCCCGCCTGTGCAGCCAAGCGTTCCCGCCCTCGCTCAGTGCCCAGGTAGCTGCGAGGAAACTTTTGCAGCGGCTGGGTAACGGCACGTCTCCCGCTCCTGCAGCCGCTGCTAGGCTTGCTGCTTCTGGGACTGCTCTCGTCCCCGCCGCCACTCTCCCGCGCTCCCCGCGCTCCCCGCCCCGCAGGATGGCAGGGACCGTGCGCACCGCGTGCTTCGTGGTGGCGATGCTGCTCAACTTGGACTTCCCGGGACAGGCACAGCCTCCACCGCCGCCGCCAGACGCCACCTGTCACCAGGTTCGCTCCTTTTTCCAGAGACTGCAGCCCGGACTCAAGTGGGTGCCTGAAACCCCCGTACCAGGTGAGGAGGAGTCCCTTAAGCTTTCCCCGCGCCCCGCGGGGAGCCCGGGAGCGCGTGGTGGCGGTACCCCGAGTGCTCTAGCCCCGCGGGGCTGTGGTCGTGAGCCCTGCCGCTGGGCACCTGGGGGTGCTCGTCGTGCCCAGGGCAGACCAGGTCTCCCGAGGAGGAAGAAGAGTGTGTGTGGACCGTGGCCGCATTCCCTGTACTCGCTCTGCTGTCAGGGAAGGTGCTAGTGGGAGGATCGGCGGTGATGGCCTTTTCCGGAGCGCCCATTTTTTGGGGAGGGCGGGAAGGTGGGAGCTGGCTCCCAGGGCCTCTGGGAACTGGCGCCTCATATCCAAACCGGTGCCTTGAGAATTTGCCACGCTTCCTCGCACGTCCGTGCCAAAATTTCAGCCAAAGCTGGACCGAGGCTCCGGCCATTCTTCCCCCAACCTGCCCCCGGCCCTCCTTCCCGCAGCTTGGGTTCCCGAGCTCGTGGGCCCAAGTGCAGACAAAGTTGAGGAGAGGTCTCCAGATCTGCAGTGGTAGGTAAAGACACACAGAAGGAAACTTTGGAGAGTGAGGGTCTCCTAAATGAGGAGGACTGAGCCTTTTCCTCAAAACAGCGTCCCTTCTCTAGGTTGGCAAAATCGCTTCAAAAATGGTGCTGCCGGCCCCGGGAGCAGGAGTCCAAAGATGATATAACTCCTCCCCCTCTCAAATTCATCAGCCTTTTTGACAGGCTGGACCCTGAAGAAGAGATGATTTTAGGTGGAGGAAAGTTTCTGAGCGCCTGCCTTTTGTTCTACACTATCAGATCGCGTTGTAAGGGCATATTTTAACCTTAGCTGAGGGCTGCCGCTGTCAACAGATGAATATTACTGGCCTTGTGTGATGAACTGTCCCGCGGTCAATCCTAAAAGCCTACCTTAGAATATCATTAGGACAAATTGCTACACTGGCAATGAGGGCAAGAAGAGTCGGTTTCAAACAGGTTAATTTAGCAGAGGTGCGCTCAGAAGAAACGGCGGGTAGATTCACAAACCTCCAGGGTCTCTTCTCAAACCATGCATGTAGCGAAGCGCGGATCCTGTGCTTTTGAGGGATCCGGGAGCCACCCTCGCCCAAACTTGGCTCTTGGCTCTCAACAAGTCAGAGAGGCAGGCCTGATGGTTGGACCAAGTTGTGAGTGTGATGCGCGCCCTGTGGGCGCTGCCAGCCAGCCTTCACTAGCGGGAGGTTACCTAGGCAGCCAGCGCGCCCTCGGCGCCCTCGGCCTTTTCTTTAGGTGGATAAAAAGCCGAGCGAGCATGCTGTTTAGTTGCAAAGGTAATTGGTCACCCTTTTTGGTGACTGAAATGCATTTGTGCATATGTTAAATATTGCTTTGCAGGAAGTCCCTCTAAGGAAGGGTAGAACTACCTCTTCCACTGTTAAGTGTTAATAGCATACCACGTGGGCGTGTGCAGGAGCTGTAAGGGGCAACCTATGAATCAGTTCCACAGAGCTGAAACAACAGGCGAATCTCTCTCCCCCTCAAAGTGCTATGGTATTAGATTGCTAAAGCCAGAGAACATGCTGGCTTTATAATATAAAATGGTTATAATATAAAAATTGGTCTTCACAGGATGAGCCCCCACAATATGGGTGATTTGAAATCGGGGAGTAAAGGTTGTGTTTAAAAGAAGAAAACGGCCAGAAGGAATGCAGATACTGATTGAGCAACCCCCTCTACACACACTCAGGCTTTCACTCCTCCTCCCTTCCCCTCCCCCAGCTCTCTGGCTGCCTGCCTCTTTGCAGCATCTGTATAAAAGTATTGGGAGGGCCCACACACTGTGTGTATGAGATTTGGCCTGCACCCACCTCCTTCCCAGCTCCCTTACTCTGGGCCTAAGGATGGCCATACTATAGAGAACAACAGGGACTGGTAAATTTATTATTTCCCACTAGTATTTCTCAAACCCCATAGGAAAAACCACTTTCCAAGGGTTTTTGCCATATAAACCCTACTTCACTTCCATTTAACATATGCAGTGTTGAGTACCTTCTACATGGCAGGCACTGTTCTGACTTGCCTTGGAGCAAAGCCAAAATTCAAATATGGTGATATCCATACAGCTACCATATATCCTGGATTTACTGGGGCAGTGCATATTTCCAGTACTTTGTTCTGGCATAAGACCATGTGTTCTGAATTTTAGTTGAGCAAATATCGTTACTGTAGGTATGGAAAACATGGTGAAAATCCTAATGTCCATGTGTGGAAAGAGCTCATCAGTATTTCAGAGCAGAGATAATAATGGCAGACTAAATAGAATGGCAAGTGCATAATTTCAAAGTGAATAAATGTGTAATTTGCTGCTGTCGATCAGTGGTTGGAAATTGAAAGAGAGCTGCAAATTATTTGAGTTACGAACCATCATGATGGCCACTTTTCATTTCCCCCATCTATGTTTTAAGCTATGTTTAGTTTACTGGCTCCACTGTTTTAACTGCATTAAAGCTTTCTTTGTCCCAGATAAAATGAGATTGGGTAACAGTAAGGAGAAATCCTCAAGAATGTCCTGTCTCACTTAAGAGGAGCATTTGGAATTGAGTGCTAACTTTGGCCATTAGCAGAATTGGGTTAGAGTGGATAAGGTACATTTCTTATGCTAATATGGATGAAACTAAATGGCATTTGAAATCAGCCAGCCTAAAAAATAAATCACTGGTGCTGAAGGACTACACTAGACTTCCACAAAGCTGCTCTAAAGCCTTACAATCTCATGTTCCCATTTCTTTTAGAGTGTTCAAAGGCACAGGATAGTGATTCTAATAGCATGTCCCCGAAATCCATAGATCTTTTCATACCCCAGTCTTTTTTTTTAAGGATTTGTAACTTGGAAAGCACCACAGATGGAAACCAGGCACACAGAGTTAGCATTTGGCAGAAAAATCCATATAACTGACTTTCAGTGTAGCTCTTTTGCCCTTATTTAATTTAGAAAAATTCAGAAAAAAGCCAATGAGCTCATAAGTCTAGATGTTTATTTTGTTTTGCTTAACCTACCCACAGGCGCAATCAAGAATGGATACAATTTTAGACAAGGAAAGTGAGTTAGTAATCAGACAATGATGTTTCCAATTGTCTCAAGGGAATGTTACAGAAGTCTGAAAAAAATTCCTCTAAACAAAAATCAAGTGTAATTCACTTTATGAATGCCATACACCACTTTTGTAGCGGGATGATGGTGAAGGGGAAGGATGAGAATGAGAAAATCAAACTAACTGTGGAAGTGTTGCAACTCCCCAAAGATTGAGGAATCTTGCCTTAGAGGGCCTTGTAAAGTGCAAGAACCATTGCAGAAGGCCAAATGCCCGAATGGGTAAAAGGCAGCCTTTAAGAGCCAAAATCGACTTGGAGTGTCTCAAAACAGATGAAACAACATAAAGATAAAAATCGGCGTTTTTGAAACAAAGAGGACGTTTGGTATTTGTTGTTTTTTAAAGTGTCAGAACTAGCAACTGTAATCTGGGTTGCCAGCTGTGGCTCCCCAATTAGTTTGAAGCAGTTAGTGGTCCTAATGTCCGGGAGAGAAAGTGAGGTGTGGGAGGTTTTTCCCTCCTCTGAGATTGCACTAAACATTTGGGTGAGCAGGTGATTTGTTAAAACGTTGAAAGAGTTGTATTATTGTTTGTTAACTTGGAACAGTTTAGAGAATTTTTTCAAATGTCGTCCGAATAGATTTATTATATTAATCCTGATGATTGGTGCCTAGATGTGCTTAGAGGGGCGCCTCAATCTGATTGAAAAGATGGCTGATGATCAGTGGAGCACCTTGGCCTGAAAGGACACTAAGACTGCCTGCTCCTTGGCAGGCTGTGTGTTAGGTGCTGGGGGTATCAGGAGTAAGAAAACAGTCTCTTTTGTCAAGGCACTTGAAATCTAGTGGGGGAGCATACAAGTAAACAGGCTCTCAGGAAACTTGTAGGATTAAATAGGGTGAAAAGGGCTAGAAAATACCTCCAGGAAATTGGCTGAAATGGTCACAATAGCCATCCTGGGGAAGGGAAAAGAACTGAAGAGATGAAGAGGGAGATAGGGAGGAATCTCTTAATAGGACCGCCATCTTAAAAAGTTTTCTTAATTCTTGGAGGAAATTCCGTTTGTAAGCATTAGGCAAAACAGGCATAAGAAGATTTTGATGGATGCTAGATGCCACGGATGGTGTCAGTTTTGCAATTTTTTCCCCGTATGGGCTGATAGGTTGTATCCAGTATTTTGAGGTAATATTTTTGAGCATTCTGTTACTTCCATCTTTAGAGTTGTAATGTTGGCTGTTCACTGTAGCCTAGAAAAAGGCTGCTTATTATCAACCTGGGGGGAAAGAGTCCTGGATTTGTCTGCTATAAGACAAGACAGAAAAATATGTTTTCTCTTTAAATGGCAACTATCAATGACCATGCCAACTTTAGAATTTGATGCATATACAAAAACGTGGGTCTTAAGGGGTATCTTATTGCTCATTTCCAAGAAAATTGAAGATAATCACTTGTAACTTGTGCACACGATACATCATTTGGAAAGAATTTCGCTGGGGATCATATTGCTCAACTGAAAAGTTCTGGCATGCTGAATTTGTACATTTTTGTGAATGCTTCCTTTTACTCTGATCTCTAGCTTTTTTTCTGCATATGGTTGTTTGTATGTTTTAGATTATAAGCTTCTTAAAGGGAAAGCACTGCTTTTGATGCAGTGTTGAACCCAATGTTAACAGTACCATAGAGCATTTAGTAAATAATTAACAATAATATAATTTCTAGATCATTATGTATTCTCTATGAACTTTCAAGTACTTTCTTAAGCTATGTGTCACTTTACTATTTTAAAAGCCTAAGTCCAGATTTTTTTGTAGCATATTATTGGGGTGTGTGGACAAACTTTTCAGACAACCTCTATTTTGACTAGAGACAGATTCAGGCTTACTTCGATTAGCTCGCAACTCTTACTATCAGGCAGGGCTTATTAATAT